GAACTATGTAGGTGTGAACAAATGGTGTTGGTAAAGGCCCCTGTTGCTAATATGTACCAGCCCCTGTCTGCGCCCACCACAAGAGGGAAGGGGAGGGGAGGGGTACGTACGTACATACCTATGTACATAGACTTGACATTGAATATTACGGTAAATACATAATGTGGTAGACGCAGTCTTTGGATGCAACTGCAGGCGTGCCGCAATGCTGCATTCGCAATCATTTAACCTGAGGTGAGGTAGCTAACACAACCTCGTATTGTGTGTAGTAAGAAAGTTCCATACAATGGCCACCACTAGCAATAAAGACAATGCCGGTAGGTAAGTAGGTAGGTATATGATGTGTTGGAACTTTTACAACTCAACCCATCTCTACGACTATCTTCTTAGCATGAACACAATAAGATCTGCTACATGACTTTCCGCAGTTAGTATTGCTTCATTTGTCAGTCACAATAGAAACGACGCGCCAGAGATCTTCTATCTAGGTAGGTTACCTACCTAGAACTACACGACAATGTCAGCGACCTTCCACATCCACATAGCCAGCCTAGCAAGCAAAAGCAAGCTTCGGGAGACCCCTGGGATTGCAGCAGCGCTGACGCCATGATAGCAGAGTTTCTATGCAACCTTCCCAATTTTCTGTCCCAACCCGGGAATGTGATGCGATCTGACTCGGCGCATTCGCACCAAAAGGCTTGTTTTGATGACAACAATCCCCCCTTTCCCCTCCCACCTTAGTCCGTCTCTGCCTGCCCGCCTGGGTCTCCAGTGCGTAAAATGTAGTAAATGGCTCGCCTATCTCCTGAGATCGACCATACGGATGTTGCGGAGCCGGTATGGTGCGCTGACTATAATATACCTGCGTTATCTTTCGTTTCGTTTCGGTTCTCTCTCGTTCACCTGTGTGTGTGTGTGTGGTGCATGTTGCGTGTTGGTTGTGTTTTACCCCTTTATCCTAGTATCCTAGTGTCTCTTTGTGATGAATCTCAGCTGGATATCGCTAGGCTTACTGGCCACCTTGTCCGGCCAGACTCGGGCTCTTCAGTTGAAGCGCGACACGCCCCGAGATGAGCTCACGTATGCGCCTAACTACTTCCAGCAGAAGATCAACCATTTCCCTGAAAATGGCCTGCCGTACGCGAATGGCACATTCAAGCAGCGGTACTATTTTGATTCGTCGTACTATAAGCCCGGTATGTTATCCAAAAAATTAACTGCGCACACCCGAGTCACATCAATTGACTAACACTGGACAAAAGGCGGCCCTGTATATCTCTACATCAGCGGAGAGACAAGCGGTTAGTTAGACAGTCTCCCCCGGCTGAGTGTTGTTATGGCTATAATAATACTAGAATACGCGGATACTCTTCTCGTGTCATTAGCAACGAGGTTAGCCATGGTGACTTACTCTTCCCACAGGGCCAAGCAGGTTCTCCAACCTACAGACCGGGATTATCCAGATTTTGATGGAAGGCAAGTGACCAAATCACCAACTACGACCTTAGAGGAGGAGTTCCAGATGATCCAGTTTACATGAGTTTCTAACCAGCATTTCTAGCGACCAACGGCCTGGGAGTCATTCTTGAGAACCGATACTACGGGGAGAGTTACCCGTTCAACACTTCCACCACAGACCAGTTGGCCTTCCTCACCACCAACCAGACAATCGCCGATAATGCCTACTTTGCCCAAAATGCCGTATTTCCCGGCATAGACGGAGACCTCACGGCACCTGGCACTCCCTGGATCTTGTACGGCGGCAGCCTCGCAGGGGCGCAGACAGCCTTCTCCATCAAGAAGTACGGGGACATCCTGTACGGGGGCATAGCGTCGTCCGCGCCGATCGAGGTAGTCGTTGGCTACCCCGAGTGGTATGCGCCCATACAGAAATACGCGCCGCAAGTCAGTACCTATCGTTCCCCCCAGCTCTGGGTTTTCCGTGTTTTCCACTTCCGGGTCTGAAAATTTCCGCGTTTTTTTTACTGACTTCCGTGGGTGTGGGAAAAGGATTGCGTAGCCCGGATCAACAACATCGTGGACAAGTTCGACACGCTCGTTGCCACGAACCAGACAGCAGCCATTAAGAAGTTTAAGGCTCTTTTCGGCCTCGAGGTCCTCACTGACAACAGGGATTTTGCGGCGGCAATTGCAGTAAGTAGCCCCCTATTTCTCTATTTCTCTCCTTTTAAGGTACGGAATGGCATGCAATACGATATAATGAGAAAGTTGGCTATGTATTTATTGTCTTATGCCAGAGAGCCAGTCCTTTCCATATTCATCACGTATTCATCAAGATGGTTCATCTCTTTTAACAGCTTTCCCCTCTAGGATCCCATAGGCAACCCCGGATTCTATCACAGCAATACGTGGCAGGAGCTCAACTGGAACTCGACCTACGGTTCCCGGGACTTCTTCTACTTCTGCGGAAACATCACGGACTTGGATGCCCCTGAGAACATCACGCAAGTGGACTACGCGATGAGCAACTACACCAATGGCGAGCCGTGGGTTGGCCTAGGAGGATATGCTGTGAGTCACTCCTTCATGACAGTCTTCGTAGCTGCTACCTATCACCGTTCCCCCATGTCGCAACAACCACATGGGTTATTCGAGTCGCAGTACATAACATAGCCTCCGCACAGAATATCATAACACTATTAGGCAAAAGCGTGCTGCCATATTACTAAAACTACCTGTCTACCCTAGAACTACATCAAGACGTATACGCTAGCTCTCTGCGCCTCGGGTGATTATAACAGCAACGACTGTTTCGTAAGTAACGCCTCAACACGCAGAAAAACCGGGAGCGAATGAATCTCTCTCGAGATCACAACCCCCTGCTGACCGTCTCAGGGAACGCAAGACGAGAGCTACTGGGCCGACATCGCGAACAGTGCCTCGCGGTCCTACCTGTACACCAGCTGCACCGAGCAGGTAAAAACCCCAAAACACACTCCCCGCCAACCCGAAGAGCCGGTTGGAGAATCTGCTAACCCGGGCGTCGGCTAGGGTGCATACATCGACGCGCCCAAGGAAGGCCCGAGCCTCTTGTCCCGCGTGATAGATACCTCGTACGAGCAGCAATGGTGCACGGTAAGTCGCAGCCTCCTACCCCTTTCCCCCCTTTTTTTTTCCATCCACGCATCTCCCTCCACACCCAACGCCGCAGCCCCAACCCCTACCTACTCCATCCCACCCCCCTCTCCCATCCCCTTACTAACCCCCTCCCCCTTCCCCCCGGTAGTGGGCCTTCCCGCGGGGTACATACAACGCGGTACCCGCGTCGCCGGACCTGAGCGCGTACACCAGCTTCGGGGGGTACGCGCTGCGGGCGGAGCGGCTGGCCTTCATCGACGGGGACCAGGACGTGTGGAACGGGCTGTGCTACCACTCGCCGCTGGCGCCGAGACAGAGACCGAGGCCGGGGATCGACGACGAGCTGCTGGTCACGGGCGCGGGCCACCACTGGGACTCGTACGGCGTCCTCGACGTGCAGGCGGAGCCGCAGTTCGTGCGCGAGGCGCACTTGTGGGAGCTGAGAGTGGTGCGGGCGTGGTTGAGGGACTTTGGGGCTTGGGGTGTGGGGAGGAAGGTGGTGCGTGGGTAGTTGTGTATAAGTGGTATGTTGGGATACGGGTAATGGCTTTGGCTGGTTATGTGGTGGCTTTCTTCTCGGGTAGGTAGGTAGGTAGGCGGATGGGGGATATATGTATATAACCCTTAGAGACCTACCGGGGTTTAATGTGTGGTGATACTACTATTTATGATCCAGGAAGCCAATTGTCTTGTTCGCTTGTGGAAGTTCTCCTGTCAGATTTTATTACCATGTCATGAAGTACGAGTCCCATCTATTCTATGGATTACTCGTAATGATTTACTTATATAACGGCTCAGCCAGACTTCATAGATTAGCTGTTCTACTGCTTGAAACCAAGGTAACTCAGCAATCTCTTCTGTATATAGCCATGTTCCAGTGTCTAGTCGTTCTTAACATTCTAGTTACCTACGAGATGCTACGAATAATACCTACTTAGACCATCCCAATATTTAGTGTACCTCTCTTGCTAGCACTATGAGCTGAATTCACCATGTTGATGTACGTTTGTTAGGACGGGGAGGGTTGACTAGCTAAGTCCGACCATAATGTATGCAACTCGAAAATCAACTACGGAATGATATTTCGAATAATATGAGTACCTTGTTAGGTTGTCTTCCTTTTTATTCGAGTTATTCAATGTGTAGGTAGGTATACCAGACTCAGAACAGCCTCTTCATGTCTTATCTGTAGGTTAAGTTGACCTGTTAAGTGTGACAGGCAACACTGAATAAGCACTGGAGTTATCCATGATGGAAACACCAACTTTATGCTTCGTACCTTGATCAACATGAAGCAACGGAAAGAAAGGTATTTAAACTTCAATATAGAAAGACACAATTGAAATCATAGCACTATGCATATCATTAATGTGCCCTGAAACCGTTCATAGCAGTTATGTTACATGTTACATCAGTGTAGTAACATGCACATTGATGTCAAGGAAAGGAGGGTTATTACCTACAGTACGTTAAATTATCAATAAATATATCATACCTACATAGGTAGCAGAACCGAGTCACAACTTTGGGTTGGATACTCTACATATAATATAGGTTAGATATTTAAAGTTCGGTAGTTGCCTCTTCTACTCTCGTTACATCATTCCGACGTTATGGTATACTTGACCTATCAACTCAAGAGTTACTTAAACTAGAAGTATCAAATTAGCGTATCTGGATGTTCGATCAATACAACTCGTACGTACAAGTCGAGGAAGATTGATCCTTGATTGGCCCGAATCTTCCTCCCAACCCACACCAACCTACCAACCAGAAAAAGAAAAGAAAAGAAGAAAAAGACTTCAACTTCTTATTCAAGACACAGCCTAACTTGAGCGCCAATAGCAGCCAGATATTTTTGTAGACTCAACCTTACAACTGCATTCACCCCCTGTCGCTTAGGGCTTGTGGCCTAATGGTTAAGGCGCCAGATTTCGGTTCTTTTAACTCTCTGTTACCTAACCTGATCCTCTGGAGATTGTCGGTTCGACTCCGGTCAAGCTCGTCCAAGCATAGCTAGTAAATAGTTGTTGTGTTCACGGGAAGGAGACAATTTCTTTTCCTTCTTTTTTTTTTCTGTCTTGTTTGAAATATGCAAGTTCCCGTTTCTCGTTAAACCATGATCGGGTTTCTTTTTGCTCACTTGCTCTGCCAATTTCGGTAATCCGGGGGTACTGATGTAGTAGGTAGGGAGGTAGTGTAAAAGCCGTCGGGGAAAAGACAGATATCACCGGTAGGTGGTAATGGGGGTTAGGTAGTGTTAAGTAGTATGATAAGGGCAGTCAGGGCATGACCTACCTATCTGGCAAGCAGCCTAGCCTAGGTAGATTAAAGCAGTGACCGATAAGGCAACACATAGATTGATTCCCCGAGATACCTACTTACCTAGTAGTACATACATAAGGTTCATGTAAGTGGCAATGCCTATGTATATAGGTATATATGTAGGTAGGTATGTATGTAGGTAGGAATATATGTATGCGGGGGTTAGCACCATGTTTAGGAAGTATCCAAGTACCCGACCAATTAAAAAAAGGGTGTATGAATCGTAACGGCGGTGTTCCCGTCCGTCCGTCTCTCGGGGAAGCCTTTTGGGCCTTCTAGGCCTGGCCTCCTAAGCCTTTTAGTTGGTTCAATGTTACCCGTTAGCACCTGGTACTCCCTACCTAGTACCTGGTGTAAGTACTGTAATGTAGGCACTTAGTAGATACCATATCCATGCCGAGATCGGCCCCACCATCCTTTTTTTTTCCTTCTCCCTTCACCTACCAGACCTAACCTTTAGGTACTGAGTATCTCCAATATCTTGGATCCCCATCTTGGGATCTTAGATTCCTCTCCATGCGCCGACACACACACCGCCGGGATATTCAATGTCAGAAAGTGTCCATCTAGGTTAGGTAAACTAGTGTCGTGCACCCTCCTTATTTATTTATTTTTTTTCTTCTTAATCAGTACCTAGATCTAGACGACCTGATCTTGTGGGTTGGCCGAGTCGCGGCCCCGCGCTTGAGTTGAGCTCTTCACTCTCATGTTCCCCCCCTTCTGTCGCTTATAACATACATATACCTACTCTTCGCTGGCTTGGGTATCTACGGTCCTTATTGACGAAGAGAGAGATCACCATCAACCATGTCGGCGTCTCTGCCAGGAAATCGGGAGCTGCCCGAGTCGCAGTATGACCTAGACACGTATTGGGGTCGCGTACAGCAGATGCTTGGCATCGTTGATCCTAGGTGAGTTCATGGTCAGTTGATATCCTGTCCGGCAAGACAGCATGGCTAACCTGTCATCGCGACCACCTGCAGTACTCTGTTCGCCGGCAAACGTGGCCTCGATAATGCAAAGGCCCTGTTGGTGGCATACAAGCAGGGCGAGATCAAGGAGATGACTCCGGATCTGTGGAGGGCGAAGAAGATTGTCGACTCTACCATACACCCCGATACTGGCGAGCCCGTCTTCCTGCCCTTCCGAATGTCGGCCTTTTGTTTGACCAACCTGATCGTGACGGCGGGCATGCTCACACCCGGGCTCGGTGTATGTGCAAACACCTCCCTCCCCCCTTCTTTTCTCCTTTCTCCTGATACCAAACCCCCAAGACCAAGTTAGCTAATAAGAGCTGCTCACCCCCCACCAGACCACCGGCACCATCCTCTGGCAGATCGCGAATCAGTCCCTCAACGTAGCCATCAACAACGCGAACGCGAACAAGTCGACCCCGCTCTCCTACTCCAAGCTCGCGCAGTCCTACTTCCTCGCCGTGGGCGCCTCGTGTTCCGTCGCCGTGGGCCTCAACTCCCTAGTGCCGCGTTTGCGCCGCCTCACGCCCTCGACACGCCTCGTCCTGGGGCGCCTCGTGCCCTTCGCCGCCGTCGCCTCCGCCGGCATGTTGAACGTGTTCCTCATGCGGGGCGAGGAGATGCGCACCGGCATCCCCGTATACCCAGTGCTCTCCGACGCGGACCGGGCACGCCTCGCCGCCGAGGGCCGGGCTGAGAACGACGTGGAGCCCCTGGGCAAGAGCCGTAAGGCAGCGACGCTGGCCGTCGGCGAGACGGCCGTAAGCCGCGTGCTCAACAGCAGCCCCATCATGGTGGTGCCCCCCCTGTTGCTGTTGGCCCTGCAGCGCCGTGCCGGCTGGCTCAAGCGCAACCCCCGCCTCACGCTGCCCGTTAACCTTTGTCTTATCCTCGGCATGAACTACATCGCCCTGCCGCTCGCGCTCGCCGCGTTCCCGCAGCGCCAGCGCATCAGTGCCGATAGTCTAGAGGAGGAGTTCCACGGCAGGGGCGGCGAGGGAGGCTTGGTCGTGTTCAATCGGGGGATTTAGAAGTTGTTTGTGGCGTAAGGCTGAAAAGAAAGGAGGGAAGAAACAGAGAAAAAAGAAAAAGAAAAGAAAAAACAGAAAATATCAAGATGAGAGTGATAGAAAGAGCGGAGCGAGCGAGTATGTGTGTATAGAACTAGATCTGATATTATATCGGATACCTAGACCGAAAGACGATTATGGGGGGACGAGATGAGGAGTCGATGTCTTTTGTAATGCATACATCCGGAGTTTCGCTTTTGATTTATTTTCAAAGATCTGTTTGGAGGCACCGATTGATCTTTTATTTTATTTTCCCCTATGCGCCATGGGGATATGGAGTTTCACGGCAGAAAGGGGTAAGAAAAGGGGGAAAAGGGAGGGAAAGTGTTATTGACATACAATTATCATCACACACACATATGTACATGATGTCCCTGGCAAGATACATACATTTGATATACCTATAGAGAGAGAATATCAGTGTGCGCGGAATATCGTGGATATAATATACTAAGAAAAGTCACTTGAGAGTTAGGCACATTGGATATCGACCTGCGGTGCCCCTTCTTCCGGCCGTCGGGATGAGTCTATTCGGTTAGATTGATTAGTATGGTGGCTTCAATGGTCGGAGAGATCAGGTTGAATAGTAACGCTTGTTACCAGGATTTTAACGTACCAGGCCTTCTGTTCACTTGCCTACCTGCATTGATAGGTAGTTTGAAGTACCTAACTCGATCTACTTAACTGAACTTAATATAGTATTAGTGCTATGGGTTCGCTAGGTAGCTGTGGGCATGTCTGGTAGTAGGTATCAATGTAACGGGTTTATGCTATTTCGCTGTTTATTATATGATGTCTGCCTGCTGACCTACATGAGTAGGTGGGTAGGTGAGGCGTGAATATATATATGCTTTTATTCTCTTAATATTTGGTTGGGAGGGGATTTTATGTACATGGCTGATATCTCGCAGAGGTTGAGACTTGAGAGTGCCTTGTCTGGTGTGAAACTAACATAGCAGAGCAAGTTGGGTCGATAGATAGATAGTTAGGTAAGGTAAGGTAAGGTAAGGCGAGGTGAGGTGAGGTGAGGTGGTGGTTAATGGGTAGGTAAGTAGTTGATGTATATTGATACACAGGTCGAATAGAACTACCTACCTACGTTCACTACCTTTCCATTAACCTAACCTCAGGCAAGTCTGCGTACCCCCGTTTTCAGTTTTTGTTTTGGGTAAATAGGCTTCCCGGCAAGTCAGTAGTCAGCGGCATATCGAGTATACTATACTCTACTCTACTCTAGGGTTAGACAGAGATATCTTACCTACGCACTCTCTCTTTTCGTGTGCCGATGTAAGTAGGGTGTGGAGGCACACGGTAGGTTAACTGGTCACATACCTGTGTGTGCCGGAACCAACAAGAAACCGGTGTGATTTGATGGGATGGCCGAATCTTCTCCCCCCTAATCCGTATGTGACGTGACGTGTGCTATGTAGGTATGTATGTATGTATGTAGCAAGCCTTGGGTAGGTAGTAGGTAGTATATGGTAGGTTAGGTTAGGTTATTAGTAGGTAGGTAAGTAAAAAGACCCTTGATGGGAGGGGTGCCGGGAGAGACGACAGATGGCGGCCGGGTGTCTACTCCCGGGGTTCTTTTTTTCGTTTTCTCTTTCTGGCTTCTCGTCACGTTTTCAACTTGCCTGTTTTACCCACGTCCTTTGGGTCTGGGAGCCAGTGGATTGGATCTGGTAAGTATTTTGGGTAGGTAGGCAGGTTAGGTCAGTCTATATAGAATCCGAAGGTGGGGGGGGGTTGTGTGTGTGTGCTTTGGACCTAACACGAGTATCAATGTACTTTTACTTGGGTATTTATAGCGAGGAAGAGGAAGGGATATATCAATTAACATAGGCGTGTGCGCAGTAGTTGAGGTAGGTAGGTAGGTAAGGTAGGTTATTTTATGTGTGCGAGTTAGGTTAGGTGCATGTTGTTGGGTGGGTGATAAGGGACGGCATGGTATACCTACGAAGTAGGTAGGTAGAGAGAAAGGAAAATAGGTATTTTATGTCTGTACGTAGGTACTAGGAGTATCGATGTAGGTAATCATGTCCATACATGGGTATCACAGCCGAGATGGCGTTCGTTATCGACGTAATGGGGAGAAAAAAAAATGTGTTGTGTGTGTGTGTGTGTGTTGCTGTGACGCCTCTGCTTCCGTGTACAAGAATGTCATAACTGCCGGGCTGGAGCGTGAATTGTTTCTACCTAGGTCTGGTAGCTGACGGTGGGGTTTAAAGTACAACCAGTACAACCTACATACATACCTAAGCCAAAAGGTGGCTTGTCAAGAACGAGCACAGCACGGCGTGGCTTATTGTACACTACTTATTTCACTCATTCGGCTTGCTCATCCCGTGCCCGTCCGTCAGATCTCACAGGAACCCGGAATCCCTCTTACAGGAAGGGCTCTGGGGAGATGAGAGAGGGTACCTACGTGCTACGTTGGTTGGTTGGTACATATATATATGTAATAAACTTGTACGGCCGGGGGATCTGGAGATACCGAGGCATCTAAGATACATATATATATATATATATACTTAAGTTATATAGGTACCGATATAAGTAATTAAGGGTCGAACGATGGATTAAGACTTTGTGGGATTGTGTGAAACAGGTGTGAGCCATTATTTTGATTATTCGCA